AAATATCAGTGTGGAGATGCAGCCAAAACAGTGGGTATATTTTGAGGTTTACAACTCTGAACAGAGATTTTCTTATCTTAAGTTTCAGAGGAGCAACCAGCAATAATTTCACCCTGCTCCATCCTGATACAGGGGATGTACCTTCTGCAATTTCTCTCCTTACTGAACTTAATTACAGTGAGCTCAGGCTCCATGGCAGGTCACTGTACAACCTGTTTGGTTTATATACATGCTGCAAAATCCAGTGCACTGCAATGAAAAGAAAGAGTCTGAACTCCATGAGAAAAGTGTATGATTCCCCTGCTCCACAGTACTCGAGGCTTAGCATAACACAGAGGTGACAATGCCATAAATCTCCGTTTAGGCCACGTGCATTAATCTATTAGCTCCAACTGTGCGGATGCCCCGCAGATCAGAGCCACACACAACAGGCAGCAGTCACTAACTGTGCAGAAGTGTGGTGGAAGTACAAGAAATCTGAATACTTTCTTCCTTAGAAGAGGGCTCAGTCCAAACATGGGCAGACTTTGTTTCTGTGTTCAGATTACGAAACAGGATGAACGTTTGCTTCCCTTAGCAACAGGGAAAGATATTCTTCAGCTTTCATTCAGTTACAGCATTAAAATCTGCATGTATTTGTTTCTTCTACTGACTGGCAGATACATAGCAGTTGGCAAAATTTTCTCTACATCCTCCATTCTGACAGTAGGAAAATGACTGCCTTTGAAGTGGGTCTTTTGGTAGGTCCCCATAGTTCTGTCTCCACAATTGGAAAGATGTTTCATTTAGGTTTTTTTTTTTGATTTCCTAGCTCTGAGGCAATTAATGTGTGGCAAAATCTGCAGCTGCTGGGAGATCTTTCTAACAAAACACCTCTGATAAGTGAATACTGATTTGTCAAAATCAAAACCATTCCTGGGATTCTGCTTTCATTCAATTCTAGTTCTGGAATTGTCAGTGGATCTGATTCTGCATTCTCAAAGTGAAATCTAGTGATTTTTGGTTTTGAATAATTTTTTGAGTGACTGGGATGAGAAGTGTAGTTTGAACTGTACTCTCATTAAGGAAAAAACAAAAACAGTACGGAAGTCCTCACATGGGCAAAACGCTTTGTCATTTTTTATATGATACTAACATGTGAAAAAAATACAAAATGGCTCATTCTGAAAAGAACTGTACCATAAATTGCATGTGTGTTCAGTTAAAAAAAACAAAAAAAAACAAAAAAAAACAAACCGGAACACGCAAACCCTGCAACATTTCCTTCCCTAGCAGAAAAACACCGAAACAGAGACAGAGAACCTGTATCCAAATAACCCTCTTTAATAACCAACTGTCTACTGAAAGACCGTTTCCTCAGTTCAACTAAGAGACTGTGTATACCTTCATGATAGATGAGACTTGCTGAGACTTTAGATAAAGACTCCTGTGGAACAGCAAAATTGATGGAGAGCTCAAAATCGTGGCACTGGATTCCTCTGGCTTTCCTTAAAATATTGACCCTCGTAGCTTTTCAGGCCATGCCTGTGTTTTCTGCAGTGCGTTTATTTGATGTGAGCTAACATTTTTCTAAGCCGCTTTATCAAGCCATTGAAGTTATTAATAAAATTATGACATTTGTTGTCCCTTATGAGATGAAAATTAGTCATGTTATATATATGCTCAGTTTGAGTAACAAGAATTGTAGCATAACCAACTAGTTTCATTATTTACCTTGGCATCACGCAATTTTTTTTAAACTAACAACCTAAGAAAATACTGGATTTTATTTTTAGAGGAAAGAGGAGTAAACCCAGCAAAAGCTATAAGCCAAATTAAGAACACAGATTTATAAGCCTCTTTGCCTTTAAAAACTAGACAGAGCAAAATCTGTTGCTATTGTTATTTTTATCCTGAGAAGTCACCCTGTGCTACAATATACTAAATGGTACTATGTACACTGCTCACTGTAAAAGAGCTAAACATCCATAAGTCATTTGTTTAATCATTTCTGAGTTTTTATGCCAAGCACCTGTCTTTTAATTTGCTACAACCAACCTGAAACATCTGTCATTTTTTTCCCCATGAATTAATAACTCTGTAATTAAAATCCAGCAGAGAGCTCAGCTGAGACTCCTGGTTAATTAGGACAGGAGATAGCCATGTGAGCGGCATGGCATTACATTAGTTGGAGGAGGCTTGGATTTGAACCAGGGCTCTGTGGATGACACAGAGCTACCAGCTCATGATTTAACTATGAAGCTTTTGGATATTTGTTCCAGTAGCCAGTATGCCTATTTGTGGGCAATCAAATATTGATGAAATTATTTAATCAGGACACATTGCCTGAAAACTATTTTCTTTAAATTTGTGTTTTTAAAGAATCTGGTTTTAGTTATCACTGTTTGTCAAATACTAAGAAAATGAGAAGAAACAGTGCTGAACTAAGCTCTTGCCTAAAGCTGTTTTGCACTTCAAGTGGCAGTGGGAGTGTCACAAAGAGAAAAATTACCTTCTCAGCAAAGGCCATACCTGCTGCTAATGTGCAAAGGTTGAGGATTTTACTTTCTTCCAGGATTGCTTTCTACCCTGATAATTGCAATAGTGCCCAAATAATTAAGATTGTTCCTGGTACTGAAAATATCAGCTTGGTTCAGGTTGATGCAGGTTGATTCCTGCAGCTTTTGAAAGGATTCTTATACCACATACTTGATACCTAAGGATTTGGGGATTGTTTTTTTTTACTTTTTGTTTTAAAACAACAGACAAAAATATTTGTTGTTATATCACATTTCAGCACACTTATAGATGAAAACATATATCTGAAGACCTCATCACTCATCAAGTATTTTTTTACTTTTAGAAACTGCACCAATTAATATCACAATATTTTTCAAGTTTGTTCATTGAAGGCAAAGAAATTTATCTTGGTGCTAAGAGTGAGATATGAAAGATTTTTATAATGAACTTCAAGAATTTGAAACCAAAATTAAACTGAACTTGTAGCACACAGTAATGTATGCCATATGTAATATGAATGTCCTGCTGTGTATCACAGAGAAAAAAAGTGTTATGGTAACTCAGAAGGCATTCCTGTTTTAGTATGGTCCAAATTCACAAAGGATTTCCTATGAAATAAACTTCTTTAAATAGCCTCTGATATAAAGTAATGTCTGGCCAATTCATATATTCTTCATTGTCAGCTTAAATGTGAAGCAGTTATTTGCCATTTTCCATTGCAGGCAAGATGATAGAAGAGTTCCCAGCTTCTCATATGCTAGTTTGCTATAAATCTGAATTACTGAGTTTATACCTTATTTTCCATTTTGAGCTTGCTCTTTACGCAGCAGTGTATATATAGCAGTCACATCCCATTCATGGGAAAACCATCTACAATTCCTGTAATTTAAGATTCAGGGAGTTTTTTATTTCTTTATAGGTTTTCCTGAGAGATTCAAGCAGAGGGCTCTACTTTCCAGTGGATAAGGTATATTTAATAATTAACCTCATACAGGTTGAGTCAAGACTTACAATATTTTGCAGTATAATAATGATTTCATTGTTTCTTTATAAATCTGAAATCCATTGCAGGAAAATACACCTCTGGAGGGAAGCTGAGGGAATTGGATGATGCATCTTTGTCTCTGAGAAGGTGAACTTGAGAAAAGGCTAGGTAAGTTTCCTCAATATACAACAAAATATTTATCTCCAGCCTTGATCCAGGGAAAAAGGAGGATTGTTTCCTGAAAGGAAAGGGATGATAGACAGGAAAGCTTTTGGATTAACACCACATTGTGAGGGTAGAAGCCCAGAGGGAAGCAATATGCAAAATCTTTTAAAAAAAAAAAAAAAAGTTGCAAAATACTTATTTCTGACAGATTTTACACTTAGCCTTATGTAAAACAAGGTACACATGGTTTTACTTTCAAATTAGCTGTGGCACCCATGGTGTGTTATTAAAATGTTTTTCACTTCAAATTCTCAAAGTTTTAGAAGGGGGAGAAATACAGATTTGTTCAACTTCACATTAAAGTTCCAGGGCAGTGACAGTGTTCTGAGGCTGTGAGGTCCAGGAAATGCAGCACAGAACAGAGAGTGAGAAAATCTGTCATCCACTTGTCAGCCCTGAAAAATACTACATCCCCTACCCCCTCCTACCTTTTGAGAGCTTGCATTGCATATACAGAGATGTAATTTTTTAAAAATTTTCAAATGACAAGAAAACATTATAATGCTAGAGAGCTGCATCTGAACTACACCGTACAGATGAGAAAACCCAATATGGCTGATAGGTTATTGCCTTTTCGATAAACCATCCTTCACTTCCAGTAGCGACCACATGAAAAATGAGATTCGTTGAACAAGATTGCCCTCTGCAGGCCACAGACACCTCCCTCCTTCACTGGGATATTTGTTCCCCTTTTCTACACAGGCAAATTAAATACGCTGCTAACATAACAGAGTTTAGATTTAAAGGAAAAAAAAATAGTAATTACTTAAATAGATATTCTTATTAGATATTCTGTGTTCTTAGTGAGACAGGGTACCAAACATTAATTTAATTTGCCCAAATAGCTCCTGATTAGGTTTGCTGTTATCTGAAGGCAGTGAGCTAATGGAGATGATGCAGAAGGGATTTGATTTAGCCCTCTAGCTGTTTGTTCAAGTTGAGCTACCAGCACAGGCCATAACCAGCATCTGGTCTAATGAGCTACAGTGAGAATCCCGCTGATTGTATCTTTGTTGTACTGGATAACAAGGAAGAGTCACACTGAAATAGACTTCTGGTGAAGACTCTGAGAGTAAATACAGCTCTTGGGAGATAGAGGAGGGAATACTTTGCAACTCCTCACCCGATCTCTGTTGAATAATAAGAATCTCTCTCATTTTCACACTAAAGCAAAAATCTCCACCATGGTTTATAATTTTCATATAACAAATAACAGCAGGTGCAAGTCAATATCATAAATCAGCTTATTAATATGAGATCTGTTTAAGTATTTCACTCAGTGTGCTGTGTGTGTGATTCCTTGAAAATAGGACTGAAAACTAAATAAGATAAATGTGTGAGCACTGAAAAACTAAATTAATGATATACAACTTTTAAACCAGCAAAACTAGATTGAAAAAATCTCTGCATAGCTATAGCAATTAGGGATGTGGGTTTATAATTGTTGATATTGCTGTGTCAATTACAAAATCTCTAGTACAAATAAAATTGCATTGACAAGCCTGCTTATGTTGGTATAATACATGTTAGCTTAAGACGCAGACATAAACTATGCCACTAAACACATTTGTTTCAAAACATTTTTCAAAGAGAAATTATTTAGCCTCTTCTTTCTTTTTATAACATACTGTATGTGCTTGCAAAAGACAGAAAATATCCCTTAGTAGTAATACTTAAATATAATACTATACCTGCAATAATAGTAAAATTGCAAAGAGTGCAGTAGGACTTTCCTGGGACTCTGGCCACCAACTCAAATACCAAGGACTCCAGTCCAGAGAAGGCTGAAGAGTCAGGCAGGCTTTTTTTCAAACAGAACCTGATGCTCACTAGGAGTTCACAGATCTAGACCAGTAGCTGTTGTCAATGAGTAACTTTAATCAGTACATTCCAATGAAAAAAGGCTTTATCAGATTTTTTTCCCCTGCGTAGCTCAATAAAATATGCCCTCTGAAACAAGACTGACTCATATTGCAGGTTTAACAAAGGCTAATTTAAATAGGGCCTTATTCCAGTTGTGGTGTTAAAGAACAAATGAAATAAACACCAAAGTTTAGAGGATGTCTTTCAAAATTCTGCAACCAAGAATAAATAAACAAACTCCTGTTTTGACAGATGATGTCTTGCTTATAACCAAATGACAAGACTAACAGAAATGTGGAAAATTGAGATGCATTCATTAGAAACAGTCTCAAATGAAACCTCACCAAGCTGTATGATGAACTCCACCCATTTACTATAGAAAGAGTAAGAAAAATACTTGGCTCCTGCATTCATTGCACATAATCAACTTGCCTAAAAGTTCTTGTAATAACTTGCTTCTTGTAGAGATACTTGCAGGTACACAGAAGTGTGCTCTCCAGCCGTTAGTTAAAGCCATCCAGTAGATGGGGCCATAGAGTTATGAAAGAAAGTAAAAGGAGTTTATCCGAGAAAGAACATCAGAATCAGTGCAAATAGAGCTCCGTTAATTCATGAAGTTCTAATGTCAGGCAAATAATTTATTTGGTTACATCATGTTCTGACTGTATGACTGATTAAGCTGTACTCAAATGCTAGTTAATATGATTCTGTATTTGTTTGATACTGAAATAACTACAACTCTCAGTCAACAAAAATTACAGCTGAGGTTTTAATTTTCATTCATGCCACATTCGTTCCTAAGTATTGTATAGGTGTGAGATACAGTCAGACTTGTGAAGAAGTGACACAATGGAAGTAATTGATAGTAATTGTAGCAAGAAAGTCCCACATGTAGAAACTTGTATGTGGTGAGATGAACATGTTAGCGGTTCCTACAAAGGATGACTTTATGAATGTAACTTACATGCACTGGTTGTTTCTTTTTTTTTTCCCCTGCTTCTCTGAGATCTGGGCATCTGTATCTGTTAAATCTGTGAAACAGAAAAGAACATACAGGTTTGAGAAAACATGTATGAATGTTGCAGGAGCAGTGGTCAGCCCCGGTGATTTCATAGCAGTGGATGCTTAAGTTTGAAATACATTTGCACATAGTGTGCGTGTAATCCATTTAACCACCAAATTGCATCAGGTATCGGTTTAAAAGTGCACGTTCTATTTTTCTGCATTTGAAAAGCCTGATTTTCTGTGGTCTGGTACCTGAAATGAAGATCTTAACACTTTTCTCATAAAGCTGGTCCTTTAAAGTCAGTCCTGATAGAAAAGGTTCTTCAAAATACCTGAAAACACAAAATTGCCACAGTGCCGCTGAACAGACCCGTGGGGGTGAGTGCTGCAGGGCAGGTTTGGGGTTTTTTTTCCCTTCCTGCTTTAGTTAACGTAGGTTTCCAAGCCGCACGTGTCAGCAGGCAGGTTGGAGCCCCTGGGTAGGCTGGACTCAGGTGATCTGAGCTTTTCCGAACGAAATGCCAAGTTCCTCGCGGTTTCAGCTACTAAGCTCCATTTAGGAGATGGCTGAGGGACCTCTGACTTCGAGATGAGCGGCGGGGGGTCCCGGCACATGTTAAATACTGGCCAAGGAGCAGGAAAAAGAGGACGTGGCTACGCGATCCCGCGTGGAAGTCAGTGGGCAGCCAGCTCTGGGTGCGGGGCTGAGCCGCCCGTGTCCAGGCCCGGCCCGCGGCCGAGGGGGGCTGCGCCGCTCAGCGCCTCCGCGCCGCTGCGTGGGGACAGAAGCGGCGCGGCCGCGCAGGTGCCGCGGGGGCGGTGCTGCCCGCCCGGCCCGGCCGCGAACAGCAACGAGGAGCCGCGACGGTACCTGGAGGCGGCTCCGCCCCAGTCCCAGGAAGGGAGCGACCGGATCCGGCGGGACGGAACGGGACGGGACGGGGCTGGGCTGGGCTGGGCTGCCGCCCCTCAGAGGCCGCGCGACTCTGCCGGCAGCAGCCATGGCTTTCGGGAAGGCTCCGAAGGATCCTTTCGGCACCGCCGTGGGCAGCCTGGTCGGTGAGTAACGAGGGGGCGCCGCATCCCGCCCTGCCCTGCCCCGCAGCCCGCCTGAGGGGAGCCGGGGGGCGCCGTTACCCGCCTCGCTGCCCGGGCCGTGAGGGGCGGCGGGACGGTGCCTCCCCGCTCTTCCCGCCCGGCCCGGCCCGGCGCGGCTTGGCCGGGGTGGGGGGGGGGCGGACCCCGGCCGGCTCTACGGCGGCTGCCCCTTGGCCTTTCAGAGCGGGCGACGTTTGGAGCGCTGCAGACGGAGGAGTGGGGACAGTTCATGCACATCTGCGACGTGATCAACACGACGGAGGAGGGGTGAGCGGCGCGGGGGGCTGTGGTCCCGGGGAGGGCGGGGGAGGGGGGGCACCCCGGTGTCAGAGGGACCGGCAGTGCTGTGACCTGGCCCCCTTCATCTGTGGGCAGTGAGAACGGCCGCTTTTTCGTCTCGGAGGCAGCAGTAGCTTTGCTTGAGGCAAATCGAGCAGGCGGCATACAAAGCGTATGTGAAGTTACCCGAAACGAAATAGCAGCAGGGAGCAGGTATCGTTGGTTCCTCGGGAAGAGTTTTGCCTGTCTCAGTGCCCCTTGCTTAGCCATCAGGGCTTCCAGAGATTAGTGTTGTAGGCTCTTCCTCCCCATAGACGCATGCTACAGAAAGGTGCTAACCTAGGTTTCTCACCTGAGTCTGATGTATTTTTGTATAACCTGTACTGCTTGTTAAGCTAAATGGATACCCTTTTGCTCTGTAAAACCTATCCTGGAAAAAGACCTTGAGTACTTGGCTGCCTACAAGACTGTTTACAGCACTGTGCTTTAACTTCATCGGAGTTCCCCCCTATGCAATTTCTCAGCCGAACTATCTCACAGCAGGAGTGAAGTGTTGGCTGGCTTTCTCTTCAGTGGGATCCATTGTATCAAGCATGTGCTCAGGGCTCACAGGACAGAGGTGGCCTCTTGCACTGAACAGCCACTTTCTGGTTTGCTCAGCCGCTTGCTGCTTTGTGCTTCCTTGTTCCCACCTGTAAAAGGAGGAGAAGGAAATTTGTTCTTATGCAAGATTTGCTTCAGCATTGAGTTGTAAGAACTTACTGCTATCAGTGGCACATTTTAACAGTGACTGGAGAGCTTTCTCTGGGAGACTGAGGTATGCCTTAGTTTCTGCACAAATTTTTTTTTTTTTTTAATATCAATTTTTCCTTTATTTTTTTTGGATCCCACACTCTCACCCATGGGTCTTAGAGCTTGGAAGGTCAGTAATGACTCCCTTCTGTTCTTTGCCATAAGCAACAGCATGCTTTGACCCTTAGCATTAGTTTTTATGTGGAGCTTCTATGCAACAGAGCTTTTTTTAATAAACTATTTCCTCTTATGCACAGCTTATGCTTACAGAGGAACTCTTTATAACTTCCTCCTAGGCAACTACTACTAGTCACAGTCTGTAACAGGATACTAGGAACAGCAGAACTGCTGTATCTAATTAGGCAAATGGTTATTTTAATGCAATATCCAGCTCCTGACCAGAGCATTTCCAGATGCTTCAGTGAAAGAAGCAAGAAGCAGGAGTGGAATAGTAGTAGTATAGCTTTCTGCAAGAGAATGTTTTTTTCTCCTTTCACGTACTTTCATCCATCACTTGATGCTCTACTGGTGTAACTGGGTATGACATTATGACATAGAATTAAGAAAAATAGAGAAATCTCTTCCTTTTTTTTGATGGTGTTACAACAACTTTTCAAACTGAAAAATGCAGTAATGGTAAATAACCATTTAATTTCATTGACTTTGAAATATTTTCAACAAAGTTTGGTTGGTTTTTTTTTTTTTTTTCGTATTGAAACGTATTTATGCCTATTGCTAGAGAGATCCTAAAGAAACTTTAAGACATCTTGTTTTTGTTGATCATGAGCCTTGAGCTGGCCCTAATAATTGTACACTATAGATAGCCCATATTAATCAGGCAAAACTGTTTCCCACATGTGATAAGCTTGATACCATCTTCCACCCTTTTCCTCCTGCATAGATAGCTAAAAGATATGGGGTGTATATATAGAAATCAAAATGACTGGGCTAGAAATGCCCTTATCTTTAGGGTGGGATGGGTTGTCCATTCATATATGGTGATTACTTAGGTGAGTTAAAAGCATCCTGCAATTATAAGATTGGAAGTTAGCCAAGATACCCCTACTCCTGACAGCATTCCCAGGAGAGTATTTTTTAATTGCATCATACATGAAAAATAAGTATCAGTCAACTCGATACAGCTGGCAATTGCTGTTCCCTTTTGTAGCAATAAAAGCTAGATAAATCTATTGTACAGCAGTGAAATAATTTTGGAGAATAACTTTATTTCTCTTCACTAGTCTCTGGAGTAATGCACAGTCTGCAGTAACAACCCTGATTCACGGCTTTGTTACTCTAGCTCAATGCTGAAGTGATTTTGCTGAAATCAGTGGGGCAATTGCTCTAGTTTTATGTGGGTGTAAATACGGGGATGAATATGTTTGTGTGTCTCAGGCCAGTATTTTTGGCTCTTGGATAGAGTTATGAACTAGATAAACAGTCTAACTTCACTGGTAACGTTTTCTACTTAATTTCTTGTCATAGACCTAAAGACGCAGTTAAAGCGCTAAAGAAAAAGCTTTCCAAAAACTGTAACCATAAGGAGATCAGGCTTACCCTGTCTGTAAGTACAGCTATATTTATATTAATTAGACACTAAGAAGGAAAACATTTTAAACGATAAGGTGGCATGCAAATTATCGCTGACACAACTCTCCGTGGTGTTTTCTGTCTGTTGTTTGCGTGTACAGCGCTACCACAGTGCAGATCAGATGGTCTGCTGGCATTCCATAGAGTCCTGGATGATGCAAATTCTTAAATTTATTGTTGCAGTTTTGGTTTTTTAAACTTGTACTGTGTAAAAGTAGTGTAGTTCTTACTTCAGTGACTCCCTCTGTGAGTGCCCCACCTGTTTGTGAAAGATATGGAGGTTGGGATATTACCTAAAAGCTACATTTAACCATTCCATTACTCACCTTGTGGTACTGATCTTGGTTAAACTAAGCATGGTATACAGCATCATGGAATGTGCAATACCGGTTTTGTAAAGGTGAGTGTTACCACGTATAAATGAGAAACTTGAATGAAAGGGTAACGATGGTGAGTTAAGCAAGGGAGCAAGGCCCAGGGTAAACCACATAAGATTCAGATGTTATGACTAAAGGTTGGATTGACTGGAAATATCCTCATTTGAGATAATCTGGCCTCCAGAACCTGACTGTTTCTGAACTATCCCAGAGTTCGGGGAAGTGTTGTGATTTCAGTCAATTTAAGATTTACTGGAGTATGTGAACATAGTTCTCTCTTTTCCACTACACTGATAATGTAGCCCGTAGCAGGAAGTTGCTAACACTGTCATAAGTCCAGAGTTCCTGACTGGAATTACTCTTGACTAACAATAGTGCAACTGTGAGAAGAATCATGCCATTTGTATTTTAAGTTGTTGGGGATTTGTGTCTTTCATTATTTGTCTAGAGGTATTTTCTTCACCATTTCCTTCTTTGAGGTTGTAGAGGCCTGTCTGGATTATACTGGGTACTATTACACATGGGTTTGGTATTTGTTATGCAAAATCATTATCTATATCAATACGTGCTGAGAAGTGATTAAGAAAGATAGGTGATTGATAGTGTCGAATTGTAGGTTACTTAGCAATTGCCCAGGTGTCTTCTGACAAGTTAGAGATGCAGATAAGTGTGTTAAACATAGTGATGTATACCTTCAGCTCATTCCATTTCCGTACTTCTTTCCTGGCTTCCTCCTCCACTGTCTCATGAGTCACCTTTTTGTGTGTTCTATGTGTTTGCATAACAGAAACACTCAGTTTCTGCTGTAATTGAAGTCCTTGTATGTATCAGATCTGCTTTCTTTCTCCTACAATCTTTGTGCACTTAGGTCCTTTTATGAATATCTGACACAGTCACCTGGAGTTCTGATAACTGAGTGCTTAGACTTAGGAGCCTTTCTTTGGATGTTTACTCTGCAGATATACCCAAGGTGACATTATAGCTTAGCTCATAAGAACATAAAGGTGGGAGAAGGATCTTGTTTCAGCTATATCCAAGGAATAACTTTATCACATTGACCTGGACACTCATTGTATTTCCTTGCAACTGGAGTGTGTACCAGGTTTCAGTTGGACTTGTAGTTCAACACTTTCACGCAGTTTCTTTGCTGTTCCAGGCCCCTTTCTCCATGTCTGTTCTCACCCACTTATACGTATGCACGTAACTGTGCCTGCCAGGCAATCACATCCTTTTGGCCCAGCTTCAGTTTTCTGACTGCAGGTTTCTTCTCTCCAAGTTCCTTAATCTTCTGGTGTTTTGTTTTGTTTTTTAATAAGTGCCAGCCTTCCTCTAATGCTCACTCTTCCCGCTTTTGTTTTTACATAAGATATTCCATCCTTTGTCTCTCCCTCTGTCCCTGGCTCCTTTCCTTTTTCTGTTTTTCTACCACTTCCCCTGTCAGTTTAGTATGTGTAAAACCTTCCCTTTGATGACCTCATTGCTGACCATGTATTACTTTTAACTCCTTTGTTACCTAATCAGTCTTCCTGTAGGCTATATCTTCTGGTTTTATGTTCTTGATTGCCTTCATGAAATTATTCTCATTTCCAGTTTTTTAAATGTTTAGATTGGAATAGCAAATTATTGCAAATGGAAAAAGAAACATAATTTTCAACTCCTAAAACAACTCTTATCTCTTCAGAATTGTTTTTCTCCCAGATTTCTACAAAAATAAGGGCTCTCTTTTGATGAACTGTAGGTTACTGCCTGTATTTCCTACAGCAAATGGGGTCCTCCAGCTTTTGAGACTCTATATCAAATTGTCTCTCTTACTTAGGTTAATACAACTAAGGCAGCACTAGATCTACAAATCACTTTTCTCTTGGAATGTGCTTTGATCCACTTTCATTTACTCAACCTTGAAATTCTGGAATTTAATCTTTCTAATGAAACTGCTTAAGGAGCTTATTGTCAGAGACTACACACAGGGAAATGTGAAAGTGTTCATCTGAAGTAGCACGATTGCATGTGTTAGCACTGATTCTGTCATTGAAACATGTTAAATCTCAACAGTGTCTTCTTCCTCCTGGCTTGTAGATGCTTATTTGTTTACTTGGAGGAAGAAGGGTGAGTGCCAGCTGTATAATGTGTTGGCTATGGCGTGGCTTCATGTACTCTGATCTACTGAAGTTACCTGCTGTTTGTGAAGTCACGCGGATCGAGATGTATGTGTGTCAGGCCATGAAGTTGCTTCATGCAGAGTCTTTGATAAAGCCAAGAGATCAGGCTCGGCAGTGGTGATTTTGCAATCTGAAGAGGATTAGAATTTTTAGGCAGGAATCCAACAAAGCATGTGTGTGTTATTTGACTTCTTATTGCTAATAGGCCTTGGATACGTAAACTCTGTTTACGTGGTAAACACTGAGACACCTGGTCAGTCGTCTCTGTAGATCTCCCTTGGTTTTGCAAAGCATTTACTGCAGTGCCACAGTTCTGATGCCTGTAAGATCATAGGAACTGAACAGCACATGGGGAAGTAGTTTATTGAATATGTCCCTTTCTGTACCTGTGTCCTCAGACACTCTTACATACAAAGCAGTGGGCAGAAATTTAAGGTGGAATTACTGTTTCATTTCTGCACTACACTGGTAGAAAATATTTTAAAGGAAGTCATTGGTTAGATTTAAATTTTGGAGTTTATTTTTTTTGCCTTAGGCTTTTTTTCTGGTTTTCCTTTTAATATTCTGCAAGTTTTCAGATGTAAAAAAAAAATCTAGCATGGCAAATGTGGCCTTCAGATTCTCCTTTGCTAAATTAACATTTCACAAAGCAGAGGATCGAAAAACTGTGAATGCTTTCCAGCTCCTCAATCAAAAACATCCTCATCACTTTTATTGCACTTTATGGTATATGTGGGCAAAGAGGAAAAAAAAAAGGACATAGAGTGGGAGCAGAAGAAATGCATATTTCAGTACTTATGTAATTTGAAAAATCAGACTTCTGAAAAATTAATATTTTTGAAATACAGAATCTCAATGAAGTCTACATAGCCACTACACTGTAACTGATGAATGAGAGCTGAAAAAACTGCTCATACAGGTTACTTTTAAATGGTGACACTTGGAAATAGTATCTTGCCTTTCAAAAACTTGACCGGGTAGACATCAGTATATGTTTATTTGAATGTAATCCTTGAGATCAATTAATGACTTATTCCATTTGAGTCAGAAATAGGAAGAAGCAAACTGTGCATCTGTGTCCTTGCATTCACCTTAGGTCTGAGAAGTGTCCATCACAAACTCCATCCATTCATTCCAGCTTAATGGACCATACCTGCCTGCTTTAGATGAGCAGATAGTCTACTGAATTCTGAATGAGGTCTCTGTTGATAAGGAATGTAGTTGACTTTGTTATACCCACCTACTTCTCCCCTTTTTGTTTCTGCCTTACAGTTTGTCTTCACCTCTGTTCAGATGCCCTTTATCATTTTAGCTTTATGTTGCTGCCCAGTGAACCAGATGGCTTCGACTGTGCAGTTTGCCCCCCTTTTTGCTCTGTGTAGATCTCTTCTCACCTGGATGTCTGGTATCAGCTAGCCTGGAATATAGCAGCTCTGCCAGTTCCAACAGTTCTCAGGTCCTGCCTGTCATTTAGAGGAAGTTTAATAGTTTGGTTGAAGTTAATTTGCCAGTTCTGTTATTAAAACATGTTTCTATTGAGATTCCATTGTGCCGTGTGGAGCAGTGGTTGACTTGGCTACCTTGGATCTGTTCATTCCAATGGAACTGCCTGGAAAGGTGAAGTCATATTTGCAATGATAAATAACCATATTGAAATTCTAATTAAAGGTGTTATTAGCATGAAAGTGGCTTGCTCGTGAATAGTCCAGTTAAAAATAATTAAGCCAAATTCTTTTTCCTGCACCAGTTTAGTTTCGCTCTGAGTGGGCTGGGCTGGCATAATTGAGTGGAGGATCTAGCCCATTAGTTCAGTACTTTCATTCAGAGGGTAAATGCTCAGTCCCTTAAGTAGGGAATTAATAATAGAGGAGTAGCATACCAAATTTCCCATGCACTGAGTTGAGAATGTTTTACACAGACCATCTTTGAAGTACTGCACAGGCAAATTACTTGGCTTATTAGCATATGTTTCATGTACTCTTTCAAATGAAAAATAATGATACGAGCCAAGATTTTTTGTAATTATCTCTCAGTTAGTTTTTTGCACAGCAGTCTGCCAGTGTCTTTGTTCTACCCTGTTTTCATTCCAGCAATATATTTTCTTCTGGTCTTAAACCTGTTCTCCCATAAGTTCCTGATCACACTGGGAGAAAAATCCCCAAGTCCTGAGGCTAGAAAATGAGTTACTAAAATTATTTCAACTTAGTCAAATATAGTCTGCTCTGAATAGGAAAGTATATTTAACCTACTTTTATCAAGATTACAGCAGTGTCCCTTAAAATCTGTATATCCTTTTGAGAAGATATCCTGTCTGTTGCATGATTCAGGGGAATTTTTGTCTGGAAATACATAAAATTTTGAAAACTTTTGTTAATTTCTACCCTTTGCTTTCACCTTTCTATCTTCCCATTCCAATTGCGAGGGGAGAGTAAAGATAAGTCGGAGAGCAAAAAACACAACTGTGACCGTTTTTCCCTACATGGAGCATCATAGTCCTGTGATCAATCTCCAGATTTGAGCCAGGCAGGATGAGTTCTATTCCTGATTCTGCATCTGATCTGACCCCAGTTTCCTATTAAGACTTGTATTGGCCTGACTGCAAGTGACTAGGACGTAGTGACAGCTTTTGATATCTCTTTTGTAAAATGGGAATTGTAATCAGTCACCTTGAGGTATACAAGGAAGAAGTATTATGCCATTATCACATACCACTGTATTTGATAGGGCAGACACGTTGCTTGCAGTGATTCTACTCTGAGCATTCCAAGTAGAGTTCTGGAAGTAGAGTTCTTTAATGAAGATGAATCTGGCAAATGGAACAAATCAGCTATTCTGTTTCAAATCAGTGTGACCTTTAAAACATGTAGAAATTGTACTCAGAGTTCTTGAATTTGTTCTTTCCTATTTTTTCATTAGTCTCTCCCAGGGCAGATTAGAAGAGACATTAGTAATCTTATGTTCTTCTCTTGTAGAGCTCTTCAGAATCTGTCAGACCAGGGTACCTATGTGCTAGGCAGTGACTTAATTCTGTTACTAAATCCGTACAAGTAATTCTTTTAAACTATGGACTGATTTCATGCTGTTAAAGTCCCGTATGTTCAGTAACTGCAATGACATGGAAACAAGAGTGACCGTACTTCTCTGTTAAAAAGTGTAACTCTGGCTAATGCATCTCATTTTATATTGCACAGGTATAACTGCACACAGCAAGCTACTGTTTCCCTGTAGTAACCTCATCAGACATTCTAGTGAGATAGCTGGCAATAATCTGTTCATATCTGTTTGTACTCTTCCCCATAACACCTTGGAACAAATTAAACAAAAGCAGTCAAGTTGTCTTTCCCTAATATCTATGTAACAAAAGCTTTTTGTTTGTGCAGCTGCTTGACATGTGTATAGAGAACTGTGGCCCAAGGTTCCAGTCCTTAGTTGTGAAGAAAGATTTCTGTAAAGATAAGTTGGTGAAACTACTGAATCCAAGATACAATCTGCCAATTGACATGCAGGAGAAAATCTTGACCTTTATCATGGTAAGTCTAGAGTAAACAGTAAGTGTTTGTGTCTCTGTTATATGATAAATATTTAATGATGTAGCCCATTTCTGTACTGCTCATGGGAACTTCTTCCTAAAGCAGACTTAATTCTTCCTGTGCCTGATTTCATGCAGGTGTAGCCCAGACTGGAAGACAAAGGGAGGGAACTGGAAAACTGTCAACCTCCACTTTTTATATTCCCTTCCCAGGCATATGTGCTCCCTCTGTATTTGCACTTAGCAAGCAGGAGAGGAGGTAAATTTGGAGCTTTCGTGGTTCCTGCTGCTTTGAATGGAGTTAGCTGAAGTGGATAGAGGGAATAGCCTGCCTTTAGGACCACATGTTTTAGAAGCACTTGTCTGATCCACTGACTGTCCATTTCTGTGACTGTTGTTCCTGTTATTTCAAAACCAGACATGGGCCCGAGGTTTCCAAGGAACGGTGGATGTGAGTGAAGTAAAAGAAGTTTATCTAGAATTGCTGAAGAAAGGAGTGGAGTTTCCATCTGCTGACACCAGCAGAGGGGGACCTAAGGTGAGGATAGACAGAGATACTTCATTAACCATTGTAAATCAGGAACAGGATGTGTTAATTGTATGAGTTCTGTAGACAAAGAAGGTGTGTTTGGTTTGCCCTTGTTTTTTTTTTTTTTTTTTTTTTTTTTTTTTTTTACTTAAATGCTCCAGGGCAGAATATGACCAACCTAGTTTAGTTAATCATGTGAGCTAGAATCAGTTTCAGTTATAACACCTAAGATAACAACAAAGAAACCCGGCCTATATAATAGTTTATTTTCTTTCAAATCACAGATTAGTGGATATGTTCTCAAAAAGGAAGTATCTCTTTCTTGAGACTTTCAAAGAGTGTAAAGTCTTTGGGCATGCTGTTTACCTTAAAATGAGTGAGAGCTGAGCGCCCCAAACTTGTCAAGTTCTGAAAGTCTCAGGTAAAATGAGTAAGCTTTTTACAGAAACACGTACTGTTCAGAACATGAGCATTATCTATCTCTAAAATTAAACCAAGAGAGGTAGAAATCTGTAAGAAAAGATTATTGCCTCTATATGTCTCCAGCTGTTTGCACAGCCTCTACACAATATATGTTATTTAAGCATATGCCATAGGTAGCATTGTGTAGCATCTAGGACAATAAATATAAGTATGGCTTGAGCATTGGACATCGTCTGAAAATAGAGTACATCTTTTAAAGCAATTCTTTCCAGATTTTTTTTATTGGAAGAATTTTCACGAGAGTTTTGAGAAGTGTGGAAGCCATCCACCACTGGGTGGAACCTTGCAATTACAGAATTAGATGTCTATAATCAGTGCAGACAGAAATTATTCATATCCTGAGTTTGATTTGATGACTGAATAGTGGAGTGCACAAAAGCTTATGTATTTAAAGGTGGTTTGAACAATATGTGTGAAGAATGCTCTCAGTAGACAATTTTTTTTCTCACCGAGTACAATAGAGACAATTCTGCCTACTATGTGTATTAGCCAATTAAAATCAGTGGGAAACCTTCTGTTGATCTCAACAACAGCAGAACTGAACACATATTTTACCCCAGTCTCTAGGAAGTGAAGGACTTGAACTGTATAGTCTTGTGCAGGTTTTGGATTTGGAATTTTTTTTATAGCAGTTAGTTCACATGCAAGTGAAGCTTTCTGCAGACAAAGTGTTCCAGCTTTTTGATCCAGAAGGCCTCTGTAGTTCATTTTCTGAAGAGACCCACACTTAACCCCCCAACTTTTCCACTGCTTCCAAGTGTGATCACATTCTAAATTGTCTTTCATTATAAAATTACAGTGTCACTTTGGGAAGGCTGTTAGGTGGCTTAAGAGCTCAAGGAGCTTGCCTGTTCTTAGTCATTCCCACTTTATCCTGTGATGGAATTTACTTGCAAATGCATATAAAACATACCTGAATTCCAAGCCTCATTTTATTACAAACTAGCCATTTATTCTTGTAAATAGACCTTACTCTACAAATTCCATGGAAGCACTGATTATGAGAAACCTAATGCCCAGTAGTCTAGTCTATCAAATAGGTTTTGTAGCCCCCTCATCTGGATGTCTACTTCAATTCTTTTGTTAAAGCCAAACTCTATTCTCTTGTCTTTCTGCAGACCTCATCTCAGCCTTCTACAAAGTCATCACCATCTTCTGCTAATCCTGCAAAACGTTCTTTACTGCCTCTTCCGACAGGCCCAACGTTATTGTTGACTCCTGAACAGGTGCAGTGCTAAAGGTTTAAGGGAGGGTGGTCCACCTGAAATATTCTCTTAATATATAATTTCAACAACATGGGGCGGAGGCCACTGGAAGGGACCATCAGTTCCAGTGGCATAGCTCTATATTAATGGTTTTTAGGTTTGTTCTCCTGAAGATGTTTTATACAGTGGTGTGCCAAAGCAAAGTAGGCAGAGGAGAGTTCAATAAATGCCATGCTGTACCCCAACCAGAAAGTGAAATAGTGTGCTCTAGCATGAGAGTATCTAATGACGTCTTATAATGTTGTTATGCAAACTGATAAAAGTCACTTCGAAGATAGGTGGGAAAGTGAAACTTACTTTTGCATAAGGATCATGTGAAGAGATTATTCTAAAAAGTAGGAGGGAAGGGGACAGTTCGCTTCCATTCCTGCTTGGCCTGTAGATAACTAAAAAGAGTAAGAGTAACAGTAACATTAGTGAGAGGGATTAACTGTAAGGAAAATGAGTAGTACTATCAGACTTGGATCTCAGATTGGTTGCACATATAAAAGCTGAGCTAATTCTGTTCATTTTCATGGCATATCACCAGAGTAAAATAATGCTAATTAGGCCCATATTATACCTAATGGGGAAGAAAGTATGTATTAGAGGTAAGAATTATTCTGCTCACACTCTCTTCACCTACACAATATTCTGTCCTGTTGAACCCAACAGATTGGGAAACTGTACAGTGAACTGGATATGGCAAAAATGAATGTGAGAGTCATGTCATCAATATTAAAAGAAAATGTTCCTGGCTCTGAAAATCCAGATGATATGAATCTTTTACAGGTATGTGATAATTCATTGGTAGGGTATATTGGTTTGGTTTGGTCAAAATTGATTTTAAAATACATTATATTCTTTCTTTTAGCATCTGGATTCAGATTGCCAAATAGAATTCAACAATAAGTTTGTATCTCTGGTTTTCTCAGCTTTGTCTCCTTCACCTTCTGACATCTAGGTAGTCAGGAAAGGACAATACAGCTTGCAATGCAAATTTAAGCTCTAGGGAATTCTGAGGGCAAAGGAATTTCATAATAGAGTACTCTCTGTTAAGCGTGTTCTGTCAAACAGCCCCGAGAACATTCCAGTTGAACACAGTTGCCTTGTGGGAAAATAGATGATGACACATTCTCTCTCTCATATCCGCCCTGGAGTTTTCAGTACTCTCTTTGTTATTACCAGTACCTTAAAGGCAGACTGAAGGCCAGTGAAGAATATGAAGTGTTGGTTTTATGTGTGTGACCTCAAAGATTGGGAGCTTGCTGTGCTATAGATGAATCCACGTGCTCTTAAAGTGTAGCCTGAAGGAAGTGTATTGCATTAGTCCAGTTTAGATTTGACAGTGAACATGTATATGTTCTTTCTGTAATGTCACTTCTACTTGCTCATGCTGTATTTTCTATTTTAGAAATTAAAAATGCAGCATTTCAATGGTGTCCTACATCAATGGACATTTTTCTGTTTCATATTGTCCGCAAGAATTTAAGAAGCTTTTATCACATCCTTCTGTTTCTAAACTTACATCTGAACTTCTATGATGAAGAAGCATTTTTGTTAATTTGTCAGCATTAAATGTATTGGAGAGCTGATCTAAATTTTGCAAGCCTTCAGCGTGCTTCTCTTGCCCAGTGGAGAATTATTCCTTTTGCAGGGAGCCCTTATTGGGTGCCACTGGTTTGCCCTCAAGGTCATGCTGTTCAGGTGCGTCCACTTATGGATTGGTTTACAGCTGGAGGAGAGATATGGGGAGATAGCAGCAGTTTGCTGCTATCTCTCATCTTTAAAGACAGACAGTGCTGCTGATTTGGGGGAATCAGGTAGAAGACAAATGCAATCTCTCAGTGGTCTTTGCTCCCCTGGAGATTCGTCACATCTCCAACATTGTGTCTTTTGCAGAGATTTGCAGAGCTACAAGTCCAAGGAGGAGAGGTCTGAGCAGAGTAGACTTTAAACACGGGCAAGTAGCTGTTCCAGGGAATTGCAGAGAGCTTGCTTTGCCTGCACTAAAGATTGAGTATAAGGTTGTCTGAGCAATGGACACCACCTAAACAGCTAATCTGTGGCTGTGCTACACACATCACTTCTGTAGTGCTGCTGCCACCAGGGAGGTTGCCAAGGGGCAAACAGGCCTTAATGATTTAACCAGGCAGTGAAAGAAAGTCCAGGTAGGAGAACACACTAGTTTAATATAGTTGGCCACCTCTGCCCAGTCCATGACAAGGTAAGTGCTTCTGGTTGCAAAACAGGAAAAGTATGTCTTTCATTTCCTGTCTCCTACTATGGCCCCTCTGCATGTGGGCGCACAGATTAGGCTGCCCACAGTAAACCAGTGGATTCTTATTGACACTCCCAGTAATAAAGTTGTTGGCAAAAGTTTGAGGACAGGGTGTGGAGTTCCCATTTGTGGGAGAGTAACTAAAAACTGGTTCCTTCTGTGTTAATTTCACTGTTGAGTTTTCTGCGTTATTCCCTCTGTGCGCTGAGTCATGTAAAGCATCAAGCATGGCTATCCTGGTCCTTTACCAGTCTTTAATGTTCCCTTTTCTTTGTGCCTCTGCCTGGATTGTTTGGATTAAGTTTTTGCTGTCAGAGAACAAAGTCCTTTATTAAAAGAGCTGCTTGTTTAGCCTCTGAGTGAGTTGGAGACATTAATTTCAGTGCTTCTGATTATCTGGAGTCTCTCTATAAAAACTGTAACAGGGTAAATTTTATCAGTGCAACAAATTTTAAATTCTGTAGCTTCATTAGTGGCTAGACTCCTCCCTTTCTCCACCCTGTTTTGGACAAGGCTTATGATAACAGATCTCACTGGAAATACTGTGCTGACCAGTAACAGTAGTTAAAGAATAGCTAAAGCTCAGCATCAGCCAAGAAGAGTAACAAACTTTTGTACTGAATAGTGAATAGACATACTGGGTAGACATAGAGGAATTTGGGTCCAGATCATCAGCTGGTAAGAATTAGCACAAATTCACTGGAATCACTGATTGATACACCAGCTGGTCATTCATTGTTGTAAAACTCCAGTTTTTGAAGCATAAGAGTACATGCATCATTGTGGGTAGGAGCAAAGCCTAGCAAATGTGTGCTTGAAATGAGTATTTCAGTTTTCTTCTCTATTGAATATTGATATTTATAAAGGAGCTAGTCTGCTTGTATAGTGGAGTCATAAGAAATATACTGTTTTTAAATGCAGATCAGGTAGAAAAGTGTGGAGTTGGAGACATTTTATATTTAATTACAGACACTAAACTGAATACGTTTTTTGCGTGTTTTATCCTGGTCTATGAAGATACAGTACTCAGAGGTACAGTACTCTGTAATCTTTATGCAGATTTGGCAAGGGGGTGCAAAATTTCTTTTTAGATAAATAAAATAATGTCTTTATGTGAAGTATATGTTTTTTGAGGAAATACCAGATCGCTTGGAAAATAATACCAAGGCAATTTCTGAATAGCAGCGTGCAAATAGAACAATTTTCCCCCTCCTTTTTTTCCCCTTAAGCAGAGCCAGCCAGCATTTGCAAATGCACTGTCGGGGGGGAAGTAATGTTGGCTGAGTTGAAGTTCCTGTTGCTAAAGAATTTGCTTCTTTGAACATGCAAAATCTGCAGTGGAGAGGAATATAAATAAACTATCTTCCATTTCAACTGCCAGTAATGCAAAATTCTGCTCCGTAAACTCTCATAATTTTCCTATCAGTGGATTCTGCTAGGTTTGTGTTACTTTCTCAAAAAGTACATGGATTAAGTGCATCTGAACTTTCCCGCTTAGAGGAATAGGTAGAGCTAGAGACTTGTGTTACTGAGCACGTCTGTCCTTTAGATTACTGTTGTCTTTTCTGCAAGCAGACGCTGAACAAGATCACATCCATTATATTCATGTGAAGTATCCTGCTGAGCCTAATCAGCTTCAAACAGGATCAAATCAAATTTGCTCCATGTCACCCGGAGGGGTCTTTTTTATTTTGCAATTTGTAATTTAGACTTTAGAGACAGATATATCTTTAGAAATAAAGGTGGGTCAAGAGGTAGGGATTGGGTAGGAGAGCTGTCTGATGATAGGAGTTGTCAACCTGCCTTGCAAAGATCAAAGACATGAAAATTATGCAATTTGCCATGTTTGGTATGCATGCGTTTTGTGTAAATTAAGGAATGTTACCCGTGAGTCTGTAGTGCTCAAGTGTTGTCATTCTTCTCCAGAACTGACAGATTGGGAGACCACAGTTACGATTTTTTTTTTTTTTTTTTCTTCCTCTGCCTTGTGCAGAAACTATATAAGACCTGTCGGATGATGCAGGAGAGGATCATGGAATTGTTGGTGACAGTGGAGAATGAAGATGTGATAGTTGAGTTAATACAAGTAAATGAAGATCTGAATAATGTCCTTCTGGGACATGAAAGGTAAGTACAGGGCCTCTCTCACCTTTAGTATCTTAACTGAGTATGTGCACTTAATGGTCACAGGTGGTCTGTACGATAATGTTGATGCTTCACAAGAAGACATTTTAGCCTCAAATCCAGAAAAGAAACATGATTGCAAAAGGAGAAAATTATGATTTTTGCCTTATTCAAAACACTTCAGAAGGGGTTCATAGAGGTAGTTAGAAAGCCATTAGAACAAAGTAAAACAAGTTAACAGCATAGGAAATCAGATGGAGGCACACAGGCAAAAATCACTTTAGCATTTGACATTAATTTTTGGTAATGCACAGTGTATTTGTCATCAGTCTGCTACAAACCCTTTGGTACCGGTGATGGTCCTTATCTCCATTAAGTATATATGCTTCAAGGAAAGAATATTTGTTCTCTTTTCTAAACAACTTTGACAGCTCTACTGCAGAAATCGGCCATGGAATAGCATTCTGCCTCATTGCATGCTTGAGAGAGCTGCTTGCTTTTCTCAGCTGGATTGAAACATGCTGTTCTACTTGTCTTACAGGAGAAAACATTTCTTTCTTTCACACATGGAAGCACCGCAGTGCTTGCATTGACATCCTGAGTATTATCATGACTAGATGCTAGCAAAACTGAAATGAATTTTAAACTCAGAATTCCAGTATTATCCCCCAAAATATCACATGAGGATACTCAAAGAGAGTATTCTGGTTTAATAGGAATTAGCCTTCCATGTTAAGTAGTTGATACCTTCTCCATGGCTAAGAAATGTTCTGGAAATCATTATGCATCAAGTGCAATCGTTAATGATTAGATTTAGCAGATTTAGAGAATTTGGTAATTTCTTTTAATCCTCTACTGAATGCTGCACTGACATCACCACTAATGTTTTTAAGTGTCATGGCATAAACTTTGAGCCTAACCCTGAAAACATTTAGTTTTCATTTATTCTTAAATCATATGTGTACAACAGTGTTGATGTATTTTGCAGTAACTGCCTAGAAAGAACTGTGGGCTCACTTCTTGCTTTAGGAAGCTTTTTATTTCAGTAAAGCAAACGTAGAATTCTGTTCAGCTTCTGTAAATCCACAGAAGTCAGATGTGGGCTTACATTTCTGTTACAACTGGTGAATACTGGCAATGCCAAGAACCTCTTGAACTGTGAATAGCAGCCGCTTGTGGATGTAAGTCAACAAATTCCTTATGAAAGATTTACTTCTTGGGATTGAAGGAGCAATTAATTGGCCATTGTGAAACTGGACAGAAAGTGCAACTGCATTTTAGTATATAATGTTATGGTTTATATGTAATGAGTCTTCCTGGATGCAGATACATTGTGCTTTAGAGTTGATAAGTATTAAAATGTATTTGGTTAATGTTTGTTGCAAATTTGTTCTTTGGAATTCTCTCTGAACAGTGAGATGTGTAAAAGACAAACTAATTTTAACTAGCTGCATCTGTTTCATACTATGTGTATTGTTTGAAGACAAGTCATGCTGCATTCTCTGTTTCTGATTATTAATATAGAGTCCAAATTAAATCAGGAGCAATCACCATTGTGCAATAAACTGGCCTCGTGTGTGTGACAGTGACTCCCTCTAGTGGCACTAGCAACTTTTCTGTTCTTCCTGTATTTCAGATACATATTTTACATTCTGCAGTTGAAAAGGTTTTTTTCTTTTTTTTTTTTTTTTCTTCTGTTCCTCCCTGCATATATACTATCTTTGTGGGCCTCACCAGTATGGTAACTCCAAAGGGCACACACAGTTGTATAGCTGTATAGGCTGTCTTATGTCTGTACCACTTAGGGCTCTTACTTCTGAAATGGATTGACCTTATGGATGTTGCCTATCACTTGACTGGGTCTCCTCTGGACACAGTGTAGCACTGTTATGACTCCTAGTACATAAATACTTATGCAGGTGGATTTTTTTTGTTCCTTTTTTTAAAAAAAAAAATTCTTTAAAATTCCTGAACTAGTGAGGGCTGCGTACCAGAACAGGCGTGTGGTTTGTTCTGAGAAGACATGAGGGAGTGTGGGGACCTCTGAGAACAGGCGACTTCTTGGGAGTCAGTTGGAAGAGTCTTCTTGTCAGGAGACAGATGTGGTACAGCGCATGGTCATAGTTACCTATCTGCCATGAACAGAGGCAGACTTTATTGTCAGCCGAGCCTTGGTTTTGTTTTGGAAGACACAGATAGCTGTCTCCAAAAGTGAGTCCGAGAACAAACCGATGTTAGTATAGAGAGCCAAGGCCCAGGAGAAGAGCGAGTCATATTGCTAGTGCAGAGACAAGTGCCCCAGAGAAAAGCAGCTGTAGTGCTTGTTTAATGCCTCTGGAGTCTTTTGATAATCAAACTCTGATTATAACTGGTTTTATATTCTTATGAATGACATCACAGAAATGTCAGAATGAACATTTACCTCTGCAACTTGAACAGGTTCTCTCGAAACAGAGTGCGTTTTTTGGAGAATCAGAGAATACAACGTGAACGCACAGAGGTGAGTAATTACAGATGAACTTGTGAACTGCAGGACTAAACATTCCTTTTTTTGTTCATTGTGAAAAATAGGCTTTTGATATATGCAGAATTTTATTTTCTAGTTGAAAGAGGTACAGGAGACAGCAGGCTGATACTACTCTTACCAATTTTTCTAAAGTCTCACTTGCAGAATTTCATGCAAATTCATGTGAGTAAAGTAGGAAATAATGTCATTGAAAATGGAAGCTTGGTCAGGAAAAATGAGAGAAATATATCTGTTCAAATGCTGGTTTCTTACCTCTACAGCTAAGCACTTTTATTTGCCATATACGAAATGAGGAGCCATAATGTTTCTTTTCATTTGTTCTCTGTTGAGCATTTACAGACTGAAATACCATTACACTATCAGAATTATCGAAATTCACAATTACTGGTGTTTTTCTCTGATTCAGAGCTTTTTCAGAATTGTGAATAATGGCTTGTAGCAGATCTTTAATGACTATCCTTTATTGATTGATAATTACGGTTGTTAAATATGTTGCCCAAAGTAGTTTTGCATGTGTTTCAGCTTCTGCTAAGCTATAATTGTGTAGTTATTTAGGACTCACGATGAAAATGACAGCATTGTGAATGCTGAAATACAGCTGATAATTATTTAAAAGAGGTAGAAGATTATCTTGTTTTCCGTGAAAAGCCACTATTACTACAATCTGGTATTGTAGGTGAATGTTTTGGTGGATGCACTATTGGATTAATTCATAGTCCAAATGGTACAGTCTGTGCCCTTTTATTATTCAGAAGTCTCCAAGTTTAAAATGCATCATCTTTTTTTTAATCTGGTTTGACCAAATCTGTACAATTCAAGTATGTAGTTTTTTTAAAATCTGTGGCTACATTTCTAATTCTAATTCATTCAGAAGAGAAACACGGGGAATCCTTTTCAGTGTCCTAGGAAACATTGTTGTGATTTTGAACTTTTCCTATCCGAAGCAGGAATGAAAAAAATCTCTTAAATATGTATCAAATCTCAATAACACAAATAGGTAGTCTGAAAATTGTACAGGACCAGTCAGAAGATCAATATCAAACCTGTATCTAAACAAGCTCACGATTGCTTTTTAGAATTGAGTCCGCTGTATTTCCTACTGAGGAATTGTTTTCCTTAATTTTTTGAGATGGCAACCTTGCTGAAACTGATCTTTTCTAGAAAGCATTTTTGTTTCATTAGCTAACTTTCACCAAAAAAAAAAAAAATCCTAGTCTTCTGTCATGCTTTCCAATTTTTAATATTATTATTTTTAAAGTTTATATTCTGTGAAAATAGCAATATGTTTAAACTGTACAAGTTCCTTTTTAAAAACAAAAAACAACCCCAAAACCAAATAACAACAAAACACCAAAACAAACTTAAACAACTTTATTCCTTTTCAAATGTTAAGCTGTACAGGAAACAGCCATCTGCTCCTTCAAGTGATCTGCTTGACCTCTCCATCGATTCTCCATCTCCTGTGCCAACAGTGGTGCAACATGACTCTGCAGTGTCTCCTTCAGGCCTTAGTAAGTGATGAATGCACCTCTCCCTTGCAGTCTGGTTTCCTAAAGCAAACCAGGAGCTGAGTGGGGGAATCAAGAAATTCCGTGTAAGAAAGAAAAAAAGATACTCCTTAACTTTAAGGATGTTCCTTAAATCTCCTTAGAATAACTGATGTGTGTAGATAGGAAAAAAATATAAGGTAGTATAAGGTTCCCTGTAATTTGTTTACAGTGGAAGCAATAACCTTTTCCCCCAGTATGTAAATTTGAACAGTAGAACGTGCTCTGTTTTCTATTACAATGAAGCCTGTAAAAGTCTGGTAGTTGCTTGTTCTGTAGGCTTGGAAGAAAGAAACACTTTTCATATACCCTCTTGATGTCCTAAGTTTTTTCAGGAGGCACTTGGTCTTAGAAACATTTCACTTTGAGAAAGGTACACATCTCCTCTAATTTTAGACTAGTTTCATAGTTCAGAGGAGTGAGGAAAGCTCCTAACTTTGGTACCCTGTTGTACCCCGGTACTGTTGGCAGAAGCTGCTCCTTTATCCACTCTACGGGAGTCTGTGTACTGAAGTTAAAGGTGTGAATATCACCTCAGGAATAAATGCCTATAATTCCATTTTAACCTTTTAGAAATAGTGAAAGGAGTTTTAAATGGTATCTACCATGTATAGCACTACTAATGTTGTTCTGACATTTTAAGGAGATAAATATATTGCATCTAAAACCTTCTCAGTTATTAAAATTTCCTTTCATGTGATAAACAGCAATTCGTTTCAGACTCTTTATATGCCTTCTAAACAAAACTTTACCCTTTCATTGTTCATAATACAAGTAACTAACATTTGCTTAATAATGTTAAACGATCATTAATTACCACTTTGAATTTCAGATTGCATATCTGCACACCCTGAAGATAAAAAGAGGCGTCATTCACCAATTTATCCACAGCTGGATTTAACAACTACTACAAAAGCTCAGGAATTCCTGTGAGTAATCTCTTCTCGAGCAATGGTAACAGATAACAGATCTTCAGAGGTATTAGTACTCTGTAGTTCATCTAATGAGTTTATAGATGGCTCTGAGATTACAGATATACTGCTTTTACACATTAGTCCAGTAAAACAAGTGAAAACCACCTGTGTGCTAGACATTGCTTAACATGCTTAAAAAATACTACTCCTGCAGTAGTCATAGACATAAATTTATCTCAATGGTCAAAACATACTTGAGATATATATGACTTTCTGCTTGAGTGTTGCCAGTGCTGCAGTGAAAGGGAGAAACAGATGAATCGTACAGGTCAATAAGAAGAGAACAGTAAGATAGGAGAGGTGTCCTTGTAGTTCCCTGCTTTTTATGTGGATGGGACACTGGCCCACCTGCCCATGCTACTCTCTGTGACATAAGGTAAAGACAGACCAAGACAAAAATAATGTAACAATCAGAATATACACTTTTGATAATTTCTCCATTACTTTCAATGTATTACTCTTTCCTAGATTTGCAACTGAAGCACAAAACAATAGTGTAAGCAACCCAGCTGGACATTCATATAGCAATGTGAGTAACACTCATGTTCAGGATAATCATTCTTTGCTGGCAACTGTCAAAATGAGAATGGTTTGGATTTTACCCCAACTGCTGTCCACATGGGATACAAAGATCTATTCTGTGGCCCTTCTCCATACATCAGGGAACACTGTATTTGGTGACCAGGCCAACTTTCCTCTTTTGATACCGCAGCTGTTAATATGAAAGCATATTTTCTTGGGTCCAGCACAATCTCAGGGGAGTTTGTAGAAAGCGGTTGCTCTGTTATTTGTGTTTAATCTGTTGCTGTGTGAAGCAAGCTGAGATCTCCTCCTGCTGCCGTTATGTTACTCTGGTGTATTTCTTATCTCAAATAAGATATTTAAAAAAACAAAGAACAAACACTTAAAGGAGGTACAGTGTAGAACAAATGGCATATGCTGCAGACAAAATACCCATGACAGAAGGAATGCAAAGAATATGAAGAGTCTTTGAGGTAATGTTATGAATTTGAATGATATTTTGTAGGTCGGTAGTATGAAACAGAAAATAGGAGAAGCAGCCCCCAAACACACACGCATATTCCCTATTTTAAACCACAAGTAAAAGCAGATACCTGTATTGTGAATGATGCTGTTTTTCAGTCTGTGTAGTGTAACAGATTACACAGACATAAATTATATAAATGTGCAATAGATAACTCTAAAAGGTGTTTTGCACTTTGTGTGGGGAATGGAGATTCGTTATATTGGTAACTGTGGACCATAGAATTTACCTGCGATAGTTTGAGAGTCTAAAGATAAATCAGCAGTTGTAGACGTTAAGTCAAACCAGTTCTCAGAGAACAATCTGTTTATGCACTGTTTTGCTTGGTGTCCTTAGTTGACGACTCTTTTAAGCCCAGTGCCTCTGAATCCAGTAAATCTGCAGACTGGACATAATACATCATTAAATGGACCATCACCAGCAGGTAATAACTACTGCAAACCACCTAGCTTTCATGGAGATATATTCTTCTTGCTACGAGTTAAGGGCTTTACATAATGGGTGTTAAAGTCTAGGAGCAGCAACTAACATTGGCAAAGTCTCATATTGCTCATGGCTTCTCTTAGGTACCTGTCTGTCCATTTTAGCATTTAAAGCAACTAGGTACTCAGGAGATAATCTACTTTCAGGAAGATACAAAAAAGTAGCATGCAGTAAGCATGCTTTTCATTTACATTTAGATCTGGATTTATCTGTCTTTATTCTTCAGCTGCATCAAAGAACAAGTCACAATCACCTCATTACTATGAGATAATGGAATTTGACCCCTTGGCTCCCACTGAGTAAGTACCTTTTTAAATAGATAACGTACAGTTTTCATAGGTGCCAAAGGCAAGGCAGCTTCCGAGATGGCTTTTTGTTCTGAGTGAGAAAACAGACCACACTATTAGGACTGACTGAGCTGACTAACTGGATTGCTAATGTAAATGAATGACTGCATTTTGTACATTTTCTTCCAATATTTCTGGCATAACCAATTAAGGGATAAATTCCTATAGTGTTTTCATTGAACAGCATCTGTAAAACTGGTGGAGTAATGCTGTCCAGTGATATGAAAATGTGAATAAAACATGGTAAGGGCCCTGGTGGAGGAAGCTGATTGACTCTTCAACACAGGTAGTTCCTGGAGCAAGGTAACCAAAGTAATTCCTATTTGCAGCAACTGTGATTACAAATGTTGTTCTACTGCCTATCAAGAAAATCTTCAATTTAAATATATGCTACAAAAGCTAATGGATGCTGGGACTCTCCAGAGGGCCAGATAGTCAGACAGAAAACTAATATGAAACCAAAAGGAGGGCAGAACTTTCCTTTCTACTGGTAAAATGCAAAAAAAATTGAGCCATCTACACAAAATTTATTTCTGAGGAACCACTGAATTCTGAGATGATAAAGCTTTGTTATTTTTTTTCTTTTTAACTAGTGTAATAATTGCACGCCGTATGGTATGCTTGCCCTTTGCATTTTGCAGTCCTGTTCCCAAACTTATTTAATCAAAAGTGACAATGTCCGGAGGTGTCTCATTAAATCTATCACAGACACACCACAGGATTGGCTCTTTGTTTCCATGGAAACCTGGGCGTCCTGCAACTGATGCTACTCTGTTAGGCAAACAATATAACCTCTTGGCAGTTTATGCTTGGGCAGGATTTCATTGGTGCATTCTGTCAAAATGAAACAACTGTGATAAAGGAGTCGCTCTGTTCTTCTTCCAGAGCCATTTATGAAGAAATTGATGTTGTGCTGAAGACAGAAGTTAAAAAGAATACAGAATGCTGAAGGTGGAGGTGAAGTCTTACTGAGCACACGCTATTCTCTGACGCTGGTCCTGTGCAGTGCTTCCTATAGTGTACAAGTGAATAACAGAACAGGTTTTGTATTTTGACACAAAAAACAGTAAGTATTGGAATACTAAGCTGTTTGGAAGTTGAAGAGTTACTTGGATCTACACCTTGATAATTTGTCCTACATGTTCAACTGTGTATTCTTCAAGGTAACTTCCAGGATTAAAATATTTTGAGGGCCTTTAAAACATGATTTCTAAATTCAGCTGTATATGAAATAACACTTAACACCTGACACCAGTAAACTAAAAGGACTTTTGCAACTATAGAAGAAAGCTTTTCTTCCAAGTTAACTGTTTCTTTACCCCTTTATGCAGCAAACAAAACAGAATGTTATGTTTACAGAAACTGCAGAATCCAGTTTCTAGTTTGGCCTTGTTACTGCCTGTGTTAAATCTCCCTAGAAATTTGTAAGAGAGTTTTGATATGTAAGACTCTTCTAAAATTGGGCCTCCTGATGAACGTCTGAAGATATGTGGTGTTACTTTCCAACATTCGTGTTCTGAATACAGATTTTATTTTCTTCCAAAAAGCCCCCAATATAGTTGGATTTTTTTTGTCTTGGTAAGAACCCAAACTGGGACATGAGGTGCTATCATCCATGATTAACAGAACAGAAAACCTGCTTATTTCTGTGTTGTTGTTACTTGTATTTACTCAGTAAATATTGGAGAGGGATCAATCATTTCTTTCAGTGTTCCTGCCCTGCAGAGATTGTTGTTCTGGTGAAGGAAAAAATAATCATCTACAATGCAGATGAGCAATAGTTATCCATTTATTTTAATCGAGTTGTTTAACCCTGTTAATAACAGTTTTATCTTTTAATAATAAAGTGCCTTATCTATTTTAATGCTGAATGTCAAATGTGCACTTTAACAGGTATAGTTCTCTGAATTTATAATTGATATAAAATTTGAGAACTTGGTTCATGTTAATAGCTGGTAAGCTAATTTTTTGTGAAATACTGCATTTTAAATATTCATTATGTTTTCATTATGTTAACTGTTTAAGTTCTCAGTTGGTTTTGCAATTTTTGTAGCATAAAACTCCAAATAAAAGCAAATGCTTACTGAGAAATTAACCCTCACCACTTCTGAGTTTTTACCAGATGACATGTGTATTCCATGAAACACCAATCACAGATAGCATTGCAAGTAGTTTAGGAGCAGAGCTGGGAACTTTGCAGTTTGCTGTAGGACCATTAGAACCCTTCTATCAAAACCACAACCTTGTAGAAGTTTGGGCATTTTTGTAAGCAGAGGTGAGAAGGGAAGCAGCTTTATTTTTCTCACATTCACAGTGGTCTGAACAGCAGCTTGAGAAAACTGCTGAAAATAGGATTTGAGGTGGATCGATTTTTCCCTACAGCTTAGCTCTATTGGTAAAACCCTACACACCAAGTCTAACAAATTAAAACGGGTTATTTCAGTATGGTAATCCATAATGGATGATTGCTAACTGAATTTTCCACAATTGAAGACATGAAATAGTCACAGATAGATGAAAGGAAACTAATTACTGAGGTTAGAGAGCTTGTTTTATAGTTGGAATGTGCTCCGTATCTGTGCAAACTTGGGTTTTCAAAATGGGGGTAAACACATTTTTATAAAAGTGGCACTTGCTGGGGGATATTCCTTTTATGCTTTACTTTGGCCACATGCTTCAGAAACGTATGGAAAACTCCCATAATCAACTCGACTTTCAAAAAGACAACAGACTGAAGATAAGCCAGGTAAGATTTTTTTTTTTTTTTTCCTAGCATAGGTTCAGATTTGTTGTGGCTTTTTTCCCCCCCTGAAGCATAACTAGAATTATAGATTGTAAAGCTTGCTGTCTTCATACAGATGTATTTCACTTGTGTGAGCTGCTCATGTTCTGCTGGATAAAATGCATTAGAGAGATGAAAGAATGAAAAGTTTTAAAACTTTAATAAATACACAGTGAAGACCTTACATGAAAATCATCCAGAATCTATTTAAACAAGACGTATAATTGGTACAGTAATGCATTTTAAATGTAGCTTCCATTTATTTTCAAAAAAGCACTTTAAAATGATTGTATGTAAACATAATTGAGATTGAAGTTAACTGGAAGTTATTTCTGATATACCCATTACCATTTTAGAATCCAAACAAACCAACTTGGGTCTCTGTTAGATCTCATCTGCTGAAAGGGGTTGGAAGAACTGGCCTAGCAGATGAAATACTGGGCTGAGATTAATTCCTGTCTGAAAATGAAAATGCTCTGCAACTCACTCCTCATTTGCAAAGCTGTGATAAAGTGTTACTATCCCTACCCTACAGATAATGACCAAAAGTTACATAAATACGTGTTCTCATGGTAAATAGAGTACCTCTGAGCAACTGATAGGCTGCTGGGCATGCTTTGTTGCACTTAATCTCTGAATTAAGTTGACTTTCTTTTGGTTTTTGAGGGGAATTCTATGCTATTAATTTAGCCTGCTGTTTAAAGCAGTTGTTTATGTTCTTCCTTTCCCTTTAAAGCATTTCATGCATAAAGCGAGCTTGTCTGTGTTGTAGAGGCACCCACTGTACAGCCCTCTGCGGAGTTAAAGAGCAGTCATTAGCAGTACGCATATTTTAAATGAGTTGAATTCACCATTGAAATTTGAAGATGGTATTTCTAAACAAAAATCATACCACAGATCTGATGTGCTTACATTAAAATTACTGTTTCTTATTCAAATGATAACAGTTTTGGAGGAGTCTGCTCTTACCAAATGAACTACTGCTTCGGTAACAATGTGAGGGTGTATCATCTTCTGAATCATCATTATCCTCCTGTGCCATGAGAAGGTTACACAGCAATATAATCTAACTTTATTTAGAGATTTCATTAACTGATTACCTGGTTTTATCTTTTTATAAAGTAACTTACGTGGGAGTTATTCTTCAGGGCCAGCAATGCAACAGTGATACTTAATGAACTGATTTGTTCCTCTGTATTTAAATGAAGATCTCAATTTCCTCTTGGGTTTAAAAATTTGCCTCACAGTATTCAGATAACATATATCATCTTGTAAAAAGATGGCTTGAGAAAACCCTTTCTCTTCCAAGTACAGTGTGTTCTCTTCTGTTGTCTGATGAAGTAGTATCCCTAAGAAATAATATTCCAACTACATAAATTTTTATTTTAAAAAAGTAGAAATATATCCTTTCATAACAGCAACATGGGCACATGGTGGTTTAATAATATAATTCCATATTGCACAGTACTCATGCAGTTTTTTCTTCCATGGAAAAAGGGTTTCAAAACTAGTAGTCAGGTACCAGAAGTGAAATTGTATGGACTGCTCATTACTGATATCCAGGAAGTGGTAACTTCTGTCCTTCTTTTGCTTCAAAAAAGGTGTAAGAGAGCGTGATCAAATCAACTTTAGCCATTTTAGGGTCCTCTGCAAATTCTGGATCAATGTAGAAAAAGACAGGCATGTCCACTTCCTCTTGAGGATTTAGATGCTGTTCTTCAAAACAAAAACACTGCATGGGGGAGGAAAAAACAGCACAAAACAAACAACACTAACTCTGGTAAACTTCATCTCTGCCAACATAAGCAAAAGCTTCATCTTTTAAAATCAACTCTCATTCCTTGTACCTCCCTGTAAGCAACCAGTGAGAAATTCCGTTCCTCTTGTGTTACAGGAAAAAAATTAGCTTTTAAGGAAGTGTCCAAACATGCACATTGACCAGGCTAGTTCACATTATTACCACATGCCCTCAGTGTCAGTTGTACTATGGTGTATTTGGGAGCCACTCTAATCATACATGTACTGCAGCTTGTCATGAAGACAGGCTAAAATGAAGTGATGCACTGTCACTTGAAAAAATCAAGGTACTTTCTTAAAATGCTGGCATACAAACAATGGTATCGAGGATTAAAATGAGAAAAAGTTAAGGAGAACAATTCTCATTCATGCAAAGAAGGATGTAATCTTTGCTTTGTTCACACGTACCTGTATTTTATTGAAATACTGTCCTGCTTCAAAGGGTATTACATTGTAGGTAGAGATTCCAATTATTGGTTTGTCAGTAGGATTTTTCGCTTTATAAAATGCCAGGGCAGTCTCTCCTGGTACCACCTGTATAAAGGAATTGCAGAGTTACTTTTAATCCACCCCTCCGAGTCCTGACTTTAGCTAGAATTAGTTCATTTTCTCTTTTGTTGGTTCAGGTTAGTTACTACTCCACAAATAGTTTGCTTAAAGTCAGTTCACCCCCATTCAAAATTAAAAGCATCAGTAATATTTTGTGTGCATTTTTCATCTTAACCAGTTTGCCACTGAGACGTCCATTATTCTCAGCAGTTTAGCAGCGTACAGAACTTTTGTAATATGCAGGCTTGAGTTTACCATTCTTTCACTACTGGACTCAGAATCCACTTAAGAAGCGTGACTCCTTCTCTGAGTTTTTACTATGAACTAATTTTAAACAGTATAGTTAGATTAAAATGTTAATTTAAAAAAAAAAAAAAAAACACCGAAACAGACCTACAATAATAGGGGCAATAAGAGAACGTACTAAGGGGGAATATATATATACATAAAATATATATAACAAAGTATATATGTAAATATACTTTTAATAGCAATTATTTTTTGGTACCGTGATGGGACAGTAGGGGAGCAACACCACAAGAGGCAAGGCAAGTTCTACCCTCTGATAGGAGACATCAGCTCTGCCTTCCCAACCAGCAGCAGAAACAACGCTGTGCAGCACGCTGGGCTAGCGTGCCCCCGGCTGTGTGCTCGGCCAGATCAGGGCCCAAACACGCAAACCGATGGGGTCCGCACGATCAGGATGCAAAGGGGGGGACAACAACAACCTGCGAGGCAAAACCCGACGCTTTGCGCTCCGGGTGCGAGCCGTTCGGTGCGAGGGTGAAGGCGAAGCCACTCACGTAGATTTCGCTCTGCTGGGGTTGGAAGCTCCACTGGATGCTGGAATGGACGTCGGCGTTGAAGGTGACTCTGATGACCCGGCCCCTCACCGGCTCCATGCGCTCGATCTGCTCCGCGCCGTGCCCAGCGCTCGTCGTTCCGCCCAGCCCCGTGGCCTGGCGGAGAGGGAAGGCGGTGAGCGACCCGCGCCGGCCGCACCCGCCGCCTCCCCGGGGCGGGCAGCAGCCGGGCGCGGCGCCGGGCCGCGGGGCTCCCCGGTACCTGGCAGTAGAGGCGGTAGAGCGGCACGGCCGCGTAGGACATGCCCACCATCCCCACGGCGGCGGCGGCGATGTAAGCGAGCGCCGACCGGTTCCGGCGCCGCCATTCCTCCTCCTGCCTGCGGGTGAAGGGGTTGGAGCTCCGCAACCCGCGGGCCTCCCGCGGGGCCGGCGACCGCCCGCCCGCCCCCGCCCAGAGACCGTACCGAGCCCTCCCGCCCTGCCAGCGAAGCGCCCGGCCCAGCGCCAAGGCCCAGAGCGGGCCGGGCCCCGCGGGCAGCCGCAGAGCCCCGCAGCGCGCCCAGCCCCGCCCGCACAGCCCCATGGCGCGGGCGGCTCTTCTCGCGAGAGTTTGAGCCCGAGAACACGCCGCTGCGCCGCCGCCCTCCCTCCGTCCGTCCTCACACCCGCCCCGCCGCCGGCTTAGCCCGGCCCCGCTTCGGCGGCGCGAGGGGCGGTCGCCGTGCGCCGCTTTCCCGAGGAAGGCGGTGGGGCTTGCGCCGCGGGAGAACGGGGCGGGCCGGGCCGGCGGGGCGGGGCGGGGCGGGGCGCGGGTGGGGTCGCTCGCCCCCTCAGAGCGGCGCGCGGGCTTCCAGCCAGACCCCGCCCGGTTGTTTCTCCCTCCTCAGCGAGACCGCCCGGGCGGCTCGAGGTAAAACTGTCGCAGCCCCGGAGGTCGGCGGGCTTTCGCGCGCCTCTGCTGGGGGTTGCCGCCGGGCTGGTGGCCGCGGCCGGTCCTGCACCACCTTGTCCGAGCGGCGCCGGGGCGGGCTGGTTGCTGGCCGGTAGCGAGGCCACCGGAAAGTTCTGCCAGAAGCGGGTTAACGTAGCGAAGCAGGGGCGAGAGGGGGCGATGATTCTACCTGAGCACCTCAGCGGGGTAAATGGCGGGGAGGATGCACCGACGGGCAGCGGGACAGGGTGGTGGACGCGAGGACCTTTCTGGCTGGTTCCTCTGGGGCTGTGAGCGCACGACCAAGCGCTTGTAAAGTCTCCTTTGTGCCCCTGCTCCTCGTCTTGGTGTTGTGGGGCCGCAGGCAGCAAGCGGGCACACCGTGCCGTGCTCTGCTGCGGGGCTGTTTCAGCAGAAAGGAGGGGGCTTCATCCCTTTGTCTTCGCGCAGGTCAGCCTGGTTTGTGGACACTGACACCGATTTATATTTCCCCCTCGCCCCCTCCGGTGGTGCTTTGGTTCATGTTTAGTTTCATTTCTTTGTACTCAGTACGGGTTTGGTTTTGTTCAGGCACAAACATGCCACAAAGTGATGGAGCACTGTTTGTAAACGGCAGTAACTTCAGGACAGGCAAGGTATGGCAAATTAACCATCACAGTCTTTTTTTCTCAGGATTGGTCTCATGCACTGTAACAAACTTTCCTATAGCGATGCTTGAATTTAGTGCTTTAGAGCTCTGCTCTTCTCTTATGCTGGTTCCAGTAATGTGAGTCGCACAATGACTTTGGCAGTTCATGATAGTGTTTCATTTTCCATTTAGGGGTGTTGAATAAGAGAATGATAAAGCCTGGAGCGAAGCAATATTGTGGTGTTTCCTCTGGTTTTAGACAGCATTTTTATTAATCCTTCAGTGAGAGATCTGAAAACATTTACTGCAGGAAAACTTGGGATGTTCCAAAGTGAATTTGACCTTTTTTTTTTTTGTGCAGAAATAGAGTCCTGCAGGAATAGGTCATTGTGCTTTTGTGGAGGCTGACACTGTGCACCTAGGGAGCTTGCTTTGTTTTAGCCCAGGTTTGCAGTGTGTCGCTGGTACCACTAGCACCTGTGGCCATCTTTTGCCTGTGTGTTGTTCAGGGAGTTCCTTGTCCCCCTTGTACGACGTCTTAGGAGTAATCCTTTTTTTGGTTCATGGCCATGTGAGCGTTTAGCCATACAGCTCATGAGGTCAGGAGAACTTGGTGCTGATACAAACAGATATTTTTGCATTAGAGCTTTTGCAGTAATTTTTCAAATTACTGTATCTCAGTACATTTAGGATTGTATTTCTTGGTGACGCCATATGTGCTAATAAAAATACAGTGTGAATGACTGTTTTTGCTACATTAGTCATACGTAACCCCATTCTGTGTGCATTTTGGCCTACATCTTACATAGTTCACATGAAAATTCCATAGGCACAGTATACTGGACAGTCATTTTAAAAAAATGTGAAAAAACAAGACACAGAAAACACCTTATGGCAAAACAACATTCCCTCCCCAAATAACCTTCACTGGAAAAAAATTGGATTGTTTTTGTCTTTAGCAGTTGCATTATCCTGAAATTGTAATCTCAGTTACTTAATTTTTTAGAAGATTTTAGTCACAAGAAGTTCAGGTTTACCCTAATTCTTACCTCATAAATTAAGAGGAAATTAGAACGTCAAATGTTTTGGTACAATATACAGTGAAGTCTGAGTTGTTAGCTGCTTACAGTTTTCAGCAATGAAGTCTATCTGTTTAATAATTAAAAGTTTCCCACATGATTTCAGCTAGTCAGTAGTAAATAAGAATTGTTGTCGGTGTCTGAAAATAAACATCTCCATGTAAATTTCAAAAAACGGTTTCTCCTTTTTTACAGCAATTATTGTCCTGGTTATAAGCCAGTGCTTCATGTGTCAGAATTCTTCATTTTGAACTTTTAATAAAATAGTGGACCTAAGAAGATGTCCAGTACAGATTCACTAACAAGTACAGATAAAAAGTAAGTACTTTTTATCTCCACACACAGGAATACAACAATTACTGGATTGTAACACAAAAATTATTGCAGTTTCATTGGTAGGATCTTGTTTTGATGAAGTCTTAAAAGAAAAATAACTGATATTGAAACAGTCTGAAGCAGTGTCTTAGAAAAGCTCATACCAACACCAGTGAATTTACACATGAAGGGAGGAAATAGTTCATAAGCTTCCAATAATTTATTCAGCACTTGGTTTGGACTCGTATTGTAGAGAGAAAACCCTGCAAAGAAATTCCTTAATGCTTCTGCAGTTATGAAAACCTAAGATATACAGCAAATTAATTCCTTATGTACATAGGGTACATACAGTAGCATAAAACAAGGTATAGAGTTTATGTATTACAATGCATTACTTTTTCAGAATATTACGTCTGCATACATTTAATGTTTGATATGTAGTGCTTTGGAACCATCTTATTTTTTAGCAATGCCATGGGATACATAATGATAATTATATTAATTATGTAAATCATGTTATCCACTTAGGAGTTGGATCAGATTCTAAATGACAAACATGGATTCAGTCATGATTGCAAATCATAACTCCAGACCCTTCTCAAACTGCGAAGTAACCATGCCAACGCTGTCAGCAAAACCATAATTAAAAACAGGCACAGACAGCTCTTGCCGGACTATCATGTTTGCTGTGCTTGTGCAATAGAATCCAGTAAATAGCATTCAAATTGTCAAACAATGTAGCATTGATTTTTGAATTACTCCAGCTCATAAATAACTTGATTTTTTTGAACAACATCCACAAAACATTCAAAATGACTTGCTTTTACTGGGATCTGGAGAAGCAAACACTCTGCTTGCTTGATGGAAATACAGGATATGTAATACAAAGATACATCTTCAAAACAGCTATGACTTTCTAGATTCATCTGGAAGGTATATTATATGAATAGTTACTAGATCACTGTATTCCAAAGGCATTTTTTCACGTAAGAGATGAACATGAAAGGTACATATAACTGCACTTGAGCTACATGATGATGGAGGACTATAATTTTATATACTTTTTTTTTTTTTCCCCTGGGAGACAGTATCAATGCACAATGCTTCAAGAATGTACTTGATTATATGTTGATTGAGGTTTACCTAAACTTTAAATAATACCTTTCTTCTCTAGACAAGGGGTTAGCCTCAAATCATTTATGCTTCTCCACAATTACAATGTTGCTCAAGCTTTTTTTCATGTTTAACAATTGCCATATAATAACATATGCTTTCTTTTAATCTTTATGACCTAATCAGCAAAATGTATTTGAATAATTAGTGGTTTTGGATAGATCAGAAGCAAGTGTTTGTTCACGCTGTATGATACAGCGTTCTCTTGGCTGTGGTCCTCAGCATCATAATGAATTTTTATGTTTTAGTGTTAGTGAACCTGAAAGGCTACAGTTGCGTAATTCACTTACATAAGATTTTTGTGAAAGACCTTTGTTTTATTTATAACAAAAAGATCTTGCGAATTGTGCTTCTGAAGATTCTGCAAATCTTTTTGTCATCTGATAAATTATCCTGTAATCCATCTCAGTTGCTAAATCATTTCAAAACTTCCTTTGGGAAAGGTGAGTCATAAGTAATAACGTTGCTGGAATAGAATAGTTTACCAGCTTAGTTTGTTTGCTGCATAAAATAACAAATGCTGTCTCTTGAAAATTTAGTCTTACTTATTGATATTATATTTTATGGAGTTTTAAGTTGTTACAGTATTCCTAGATCTTTCTAGAAGTAAAAAAGAAATTGTGTTCCCCTGAGTATGTTCTTGAAAGTCAGAGAACTTACAAGAGAAGCAATAATACCACTTTTTCTGTATGAATCCTTTAGAAACATTAAAAGCATCACAGCAGCAGAATTTCAGAGTAAAGAGGGATATAAGCCTTGGATATGAGTTCAGGAAGCTGAACAATGTATAGTTTACTTTGAAGAAGGGATGGAGGAACAATTGTTTGAACAAGTATTACTGATAATAACTAATAAAAAGAGGTGGAAGCAATAAGCTTAATGCTACTTTATATCTGCTTAAATTGTTCGAAAGTTTGTCATGTCTAGTTTAATAAAAATATTTTTTTGCTTTTTAATAATGGAAATGTATAGCCTTGAGCCATACTTTTAATTGGGGAGGGTGTTTCCATTGCAGAAAACGTGACACTGGATACAAGCCATGTTGGTCTGAGTGAGCTGTTTTGACAAATGTTTGATACCGGTACAACGAATTGAATTCCACTGGTGTTAAGAACAGTGACGATTTTATTGGATAAAGCTTATGGGTATTTTTTTTATCTTCTTTAACCTTGCCCGAACCAGGACACTTGCTTAGGGCAAATCTAATCGATATGATGCTTAAAATATCCGTGGCTTTTCTTTCATCAGACAGTAACACCAGCTGAGTTAAACTCAATTGAGAAAAGACTACAAAGGGTCAAATTTTCATCACTTAATGGATATGAGCAATCCAAATGATGGCAGTGGAGCTCTTCATGTTTCGGGAACTCGGAAGGGTGTTTTATGTTCCTACTTCCATCACTGATCTGCACCTTAACCTGGTGCCCTTATGCCCCTCTTGTGTGTGTATTGCAGGC